TCCACTATATTAAGGTAATAGGTGTGTAAAATTGTACTGTCTAATTCCATCATTAAGCTATTCAACGGATGTGATTTGTGTTCAATTTTGGGGACTCGGCCCTGATCAGGGCCGTCTGACCCCCGATCGATGGGTTAAAACCCAACATCATAACAAGTGCAATCACGAAAAAAGGGTCCCGCAAAAAGTGTTAAAATTATAAGCAACCGCGAGAAAAGTATGTTTCGCAAGGTTGCAAGGAAGGAAAGAAAAAAGTTTCGTGGACCATGATGATATTATATAGATGTGAATGATGAAAATGAAATGTTACATTATTATATTATTAACATAGAATGTATTTACAGTGTGTCTTTGTATTGGTCTTTTTGTGTTGTGTGGACCAACCAAGCAAAACTTGGGTGTGTGTGCCGAAACATGGTACATGGATAGAGAGAGCCATATCGCCAAGCAGTACTTATTGTTATGATTGTTCCAGTAACAATCAATCAATCAATCAATCAATCAATCAATCAATCAATCAATCGTTCCTTTCCTTTCCTTGCGTGTGTGTGGTGGAAACCTTGGTGATGAGGATGATGGATTCTTAAGCTGTTCCATCTGTCTTTTGTTCATGGCGTTCTTCGTGGTTTGATCTTTGTATTCATGCAGAGTGTTGTGTTGCTGCACGAACATCTTTTTCTATTGTACAATCAAATCAATACAATCAATCAAATCAATCATATGATTTAGTTGGTCTTGCTGCCCCGCCTCCTCGTGGGTAGCAACTTGGAGAGCTTCTTGGGAATCATTGACTTGGCACCGCCACCGAAACCCTTCGACGAGTCTCTTCGCTTGGCCGAGGTTTCTCGAATCTCTCGCAATGAGTATCCTTGATCCAACAACATGTCGGTTCGCATTTGCATCGGCATGATGAGTTGATCTTTGGATCTTCGTGGCATGCGATGGGATTCGTAATCGTCCACTGGCAATGTGAGATTGTTTTGAACGTCCCAATCAATTTCCAGAGAAGGGCCAGAACTTGTCGAAGGATTGTCTCCCAAAACAATGGCATGTTCGTGGAACTCGACGGTTCCAAAGGAAACGGAAGATCGTTCGCTCATATCTGATAGATCGCTGTCGCGGTGGGTGGAGCTATCGTTGGAGGATGATTCGGACATTGTTTCTATGGTTGTGTTTGGTTTCCTGGTAGCGTTGATGCGGAGAGCAAATTGGGTTTCGCTATTGCTATTTTCAATTCCTACTTTGCTATTTTGTGAGTGCTATTGAAAAAACTTGATTTTCCATGTGTGCGTGTGTAATGTCCCATCGGTACTGGTACGTGTACGTGTACGTGTACGTGTGCTGGTACTGGTACTGGTACTGTTACCGGTACCGTGATTGGCAGAGTGCGTGTGCGTATGGCGTATGTACAAAAAGCTCCACATTGCATTGGAGAGGGGAAAGTATTCTGTTTTCCATTTATTTGGAATACCATCAACGTTCATAAATGTTCTTTTGGAAAACTCAAATTGTCGCTTTTCGAAACGGCAGATTCGCTCCTAATGGAAAACTTCTCGTACCCACGAGGGTAGTTTGGGATTCGACGCTATTCTTCCTATGTATTCAGTGCGGCCCTAAATGTCTCGGACAGTGTGTTGCTAAGTAAAATAGAATGAATTCCATTGACGTTCTTTCTCTTTTACATAACTAATGCGATCAATTGGGGATAGCATCTGTTCTATATGTTCCAAGCAAGATTAGGAACGATAAAAGAACATTTCTGGGACCAAACTTCCAGGACGTCCAAAGAGGTTGAGTGCCGCGCAGACGAAGACATTCGCGACAACAACAACAATATTATGAAAGTTCAGAAACAATCAATCGTATGAAATTACAGAAACGCGGGCAGTGCCGTTTTGTAGAGCGTCAGTTTCGAAGTTCGAGATCTTTGCGAATGCTGAATAATATAATAAAAGCATATTGTAAGTGAAATCCAGATTCCAGATGCCTCAAAATCAGACTTCGGATCTGAAAGCAAGCAATAAGAGAAGTGTTCCCTGAGCGTGCCTGCGGTGCGTGGAGGCGCAATAAAAAGGTTCGGTTGATTGATTGTATGATTGTTTAGTTGTTTGATTGATTGACTTTCATTCACATCCTACCTACCGGTACCATACAAGTACTGCACAAAGTGTCAATATTATTTTACAAAACTCAGAATTGTAATAAAGGACCTATTATAAGGACCTATTATAATAACGCACCAGTGATATAAAAGAAGCACACATATTATACACACATAATAAGCATACGGTACTGTACTGTAGCTAACAGCAATACAAAAACAAAACAAAAACAAGAATAACAACCACAACCACAACAATGGCAACCAAAAACAGTAATACTTACGAACAACCGCTCCGACTCGAGCTGAGCATGGCAGCACAGCGGCCACGCAAAGAAAAACATCAAATGCGATCGAATTCCTTGCCCAACATTTATCGCTCGTTTGCTTCCACCAATAATAGCAGCAGCAGCAGCAGCAGCAACAACAACAGCAACAGCAACAGCAATACTACTACTGCTACGAATCAGGCGGAATCATCAGCATTGCTCGCCACCAGCGACATCTTTACGGACCGCATGGGAATGATTGATTTGAACTATCATGACACTCAAAAGATTGTGCGGGATTTGTTGGAACACAACGTTGCTGCGTCTTCTTTGCCGGCGGTCAATGAACGCATGCGGGAAGAGTCTTTGGAGGACTGTCATGCCTTTTCCGATGTCACTCGCGTCAAGCATCACGCCAAAGAGGGCGCGACTACCTTGTCCTCTGTCAATGAGCGCATGCGAGAAGAATCACTAGAAGATTGTCACGCCTTTTCCGATGTTTCGCGTACCATGATCCATCACGTCAATCATGGAGCTTCTACTTCTCTGTCGTCTGTCAATGAACGCATGAGGGAAGAATCACTAGAGGATTGTCACGCCTTTTCGGACGTTTCCCGTACGACCCACGTTGCTTCCTCGACCGGTACTCTATCCTCGGTCAATGAACGCATGTCGGAAGAATCCTTGGAAGATTGCCACGCCTTTTCCGATATTCAAAGTAACAAGAGGATGGGTTCATTTTCTCAATTGTCCAACAGCAATTCACCTCATTTGGAACCCTTTGATGAAAGTGAAGAATTTGAAATGGAAGAAAAAAATCAATCCTCGAAAGCAGCACCCGTCAAAACTACTACCACTACCACTACTTCTTCTTCTTCTTCTTTTTCTACTCCAGCACGACCGCTGTCGCCAGCGTCGCAACTCTTCCCCAAACGAGCAACAGGCGGATCTACCAACAGTAATTTTCGATCCAGCAGATTTCAATTGTTGGGACAACAACCTCGGGCAGCCTCTTTGCCCAATATTTACAATCTGCAAAAGAAGAAAAATGGCAACAACAACAACAACAACAATTATAATTACAATGATGATGATGATGATGATGATGATGATTTGCTCACGGACCACAGGGGCATTTGCGATTTGGAATACAGTGACATGAAGAAAGTGGTGGAACAAGTGTTAAATCACGACAAGGAAGCAACAACCTCATTGCCTCCTCTAACGGAAGCTCCTGGAGAACATGACAATGGTGCCACAATCATGGCCGCAACGGAAGACGAAGGAAACGAAGACGAATCATCCGCCAACCCCGCCGCCGCTGCTGCTGCTGGCAAGGAAAAAAAGAAGGGCATCTTTGATAGATTCAAAGGACGATCATCGCTCAAGAAAGTTATGGGGAATGCATAGGTTGGATGCGATAGGATTCTTATTTTGTCATACTATAGTATATACTATTCTTTCTTGGCGAGGCAACAACAACAACAACAACAAAAACAACTACTACTATAATCTTACACCAGTACTGCAGTTACTGCAGTAATTCTAATCATTGTACAAGTGACTTAATAGGACTACATCTAAGTTTGCCATTATAATTGTAAATCGTAAAGGCACTCCTATTATTTATATATATATATATATATTGTCATCCATTATGGACATGATCAATGATGCTAATGGTATGGTACTGTACAATATACCTCTCGTTATATATCGCATCGTTATTCGAAGTAGTCCATAACACACTCGAAATAACAATAAACCAACGCAAACCGCATATTCGTACACTCGACGACAATGACAAACGTGTCCTACTACTATTATTGAGTATATGAATATATATGAATATATATATATATAATACCCCTCCCACAATTACAGTAGCACAATAACAACACAAACATACGCAACCTACAAAGTATATCTACACACAAGTAACTGGAGACAACGCAACAACGGCGACAACGACAACAAGAAGAGAATCTAAAAAGAAGCAAGTATGGGACTCTTTTCCTATTATTTCCATTCCACTCGTCCTCGGACGAATCATCTGCTGGACAGCAAAATCCATCCGCCATCGAGGCCGATTCGAATCACCAAGCTTCGAAGTTTATTGCTTGCATTCCAGCTGGTGATCATGATTCCAATAGTACTTATTGTGTTCTGGAATGCATCTTCATCTTCTACAGTTGTCGTTGTTGCTGCCACCAGTACCAGTACCACTACCAGTACCAGTACCACAACCAACAATACGAATAAGAATCTCACCGTGGTGGTTCCAGGATTTGGAGACATGACGAGAATGTCAGTCTTGAAAGATTCGTTGTTGGCCATCAAACATTCATTAGAGGCCAAACACTATGGATTTGATTGTCTGGTCTATGTGTACAATAAGGAAAATGGCATTTTGGAGCAAGCCATTTCGGAATTGCATTTTTGCAAGGTTCAACTCAATCTAGGATTGTGGACCCATCACATGAAAAAGGTCCCACCGTTGGATGAAACCTCGACGAGTCATGTGGCGGTCATTATGGATGACATTGATGTGTTTACGCACAATCTGGATACAGCATTCATGTTGGATCGAATGGAACAAAAGGGGTACAACATGGTCTCGGCATCCTTTCCCAGAGGATCGGTTCATCGAGAAGGTCTGCATCAACGAGCCGAATGCACCTCCCATGAAACTGGTTATGTGGATATTCTATATACTTTATTTGATTGGAATACATGGAAATGTTGGCAAGACAATATCGACTTGGAAATCAATCCCTATGGTTGGGGATACGATGTCTTGGTGGGGGATTTGTGCAATGCCAAAATAGGAGTGGTGGACGACAAAGGCGTGGCAGTCCATGTGACTCATCCCTGCGAGGACAAGGAAGGAGGATGTCGGAAAAGTAGTTATGATACAGGTGCCGCAAGAAGCCAAATGGAAGCATGGATTGCTCATGTTGCAGCCAATACGAACAATCATTTGAAAGGATACCAAAAAGTGGGAGAACTCAGTCGTGAAGCTTATGAATATAGGGCGAAGGTCCTCACTCGATGGAAGCAATACCCCTTTTGCGATCAAAAAGACGAAGAAGAAGAAAGTAACAAGTTGTCCAAGCAGAAGAAGAAGAAGAAAACGGCGGTATGAAATATGATGAAACACCAAGAAGCATCATAAAAGTATCAGTGATCGTCGGTGGGCGCCCGCCTATACGACATGTAGGCATGAAAGCATGAAAGCATGAATGAATGCAACACCAATGGCTTCAGTGACGAATATTATTGGCCAATGTCTGAGTTCTTGAAAATGATCACAACGATTATTCGCGACTTGAACAAACAAAAAAGACAGATGAATCAAACGTAACGTTGGCGTTCTGGGCAAAAGGAATCGACAATCTTGTACATCATCTTGATATCAAGGCTATGAACGAAAGCTGATTGCACAGAACTCGTCCGACCCCTCTAACTAGATCAAGTACTACACAATAATAATTCATGAAGCAAGTTCACTCTTTTTCAAAAACTTGAATATTGATCTATTAAAATAATTGTTATTATTATATTCAGCTTAAAATTTCTCGTTTGTCTCTTTCTGGATCATTCAACAGGCAAAATGGTGATGATCATGATATTTCATTCATTCAAGCAATGTAACAGACATATCAGTGTCATCACTCACTCGCTCATTCACTCACTCATTCATTCATACGATAGAACAGAAACACAAACTGAACGGTTTTGGTTCCAAAATGTATATTTTTCCGGATAGTCATTCCAAACAACAAAATTACACACCGAAAAAAAAGGAAAGTCTCCTTTTGTTATTGTTGCTTTCCAGAGGATTCTTCCAAACTGCCATGGGATGTTGCCGCTGCTTCTTGTTCGGATTCTCGTTCGGACCTTGCCAGCTCTAGCATTGGATGAGCTCCTCGAGGTTTGTAGGCAGGTATTTCGCCTTTCTGTTCTTGCCTCTTCTTGGCAAGTTTGATTCCGGTATGGACCGAGTCGTCGACATCTCGAAAACCTTCTTCGTCTTTGGAGTTGGAACATCCCATGTTGTTGTATTATATTATATTATATTATACTATACTATACTTTTTTGTTTTGTAACAAATAAAAAAGGTAGTAGAATGAATGAATCTCAGCGAATTGTATTTTTGTGGAGAGCTGTAGAGGATATGCAAAGACGTTTTGACGGAAGACAAGACAAGACAAGGAATGAATAGGCGGGTCTGCAGGAGGCGGACGTTATTCAATTGGTGGACCAAGCAGAAAGTGTGTTTGAGTGAGTCGCAGTCACCACGTTCAGCTGATCAAAAGTCGGTGCTTGCAAATGCATAAAAATGCATAGTCTGAAGAGTGTGTACGGCCTTTCAAAAAGAGCGAATAAGTTCCACCACAGCCAATCAATCATCGACGCATTAATCAAAACTGCACGGTACATGTGTAAAAGGTACACGATACACGTGATATATGTTTGGTACCGCCGGTATCTGTTCTTATTTCTTGGTCACGACGCTCATTCTAAATTTATTTTTATTTGTTATAGGCAAACGGCGTAGGAATTCTCTGCTTATATTCATTTGAAAACGGTGCTGACGTATGGGCGAAGCATTGCTCCTTTTTTGAAGAGGTACCGCGGTATACTGTATGGACGAGAATTGCTATAACGATCTTATTTGTTGCGTCAGTACGCAATCACATGCTTTTGGCGTAACAAACATACCGGTACATGTAAGAACCCTACGAGGATGAGGCCTCATACATTTGAAAGATTGATTCAAATCTTCTTTGAATGATGCAGCAACACCACACAGCTACAGTAGCATATAGCAAATGGTAGTATGATGTTCTTCAGTCAGAACGTCGTCATCCATCAATGGTCATCCTTCGAATGAGTGGGCACAATAACAAGAACCCTGATACCCAGGGACAAGGATTGCAAGTGGTGGCGCTGGCAAAGAAGAATATTCTAATGCCAAGAAGAGAGCAGGCTTCTTTCTACCTCTATACGGAAATCTTCAGCGAAATCTTGAAACATATATATAATAATAAAAGGAGTCAAAAGAAAGGATGGCAAATAATTTAAGTACTACGGTATAAGAGCTTGAAAGAAAAATGTTCTTGGCCAACCATCATGATGCACCAAGTATCAGGTACAAATGCATCAATACTACCGAAGCAATCCGAATCATGAGAGAAGATCTGCTTTTCTACATATATATATATACACAGTATTGCAGAAGGAGAAAACACTTTGTGGTGAGATCCGAACTCGGAGGACATGCCATCTTTGGTGAATACTAGAAGCATGGACGTAACTAATTTGGAAGGAGAGCTCAAGGCAAACCACGGTACCTATTGCTTCCAACATGTTTCTGTGGTTGATTCTGCCTGCGGCGGTGATGGAGAAAGCAATCATCCACGAGAGGTCTTCTTTTTTGGACAACCACTTAGGGGGGGGTTTAAACAGTCACGGTCCTCGTCGAAGGAATGAATCAATCAACAAACGAACGAACGACGACTGCATGGGATCATGAACGCCGACCTTGCCTTCAGCAGTGGTCTTAGTTGTTAGCTTGGTTGTTTGCTCACTTCCTTGGAATGGTCAAGAGCATTGGAGAGTTTGGTAGCCATTGCTTGTGCTGGTTCCCACTACCACCAGGATTCCAAAGAGAGTGGATAGATAGATCCATCAAGGATGGATGTCACACTCTCAGATTTTGGAAGAAGAAGGTGTTGAAGAAAAGAATGAATACCCAAAAAAGTCAGCAGTGTGAGTCAGCTTGATGAATGTCGACCGTGTCATTGGCATCAGTTTGTGACGGTCAAACGAAGACAGTTCCTGATGGCACGAGTGAATACCACCAAGCTTCCAAATTCCATTATTCAAAGTAGGGGTGGTACTACTAGATGCGAGGCCTATACCTACATTGTCGTTTGGTGTGACAGCATAGTGGGAGTGTTTGACGGGAGGTATAGTACTATGGTTCCTGGTGACTGACTTGGGATAATGGGACAACGTTTCTGGTTCCGCAGCAACTAGAATTAGTATCAGCGTGAAGTAATTATTGTGGTACGTGATATTCCAGGAGACTTTGAGGCGCTACTGCAATCAAGACAATGACACATGTGGAAAGTCCATTGACGCAATCATCACGACAAGTTTCTACCAGAATCTCTGCCTTTGGATCATCATGGCCTCAGGTCGGAGACTGAAGGACTATATGACTGACTTGGTTTGATGTATCTATTGTTAGATTCCCAATTAGCATCGCGACATGACATGCTACTCTACAGATTAAAATAAAAAGATCATGTTCAATTTCAATATAGGTACCTATACATAACACGGATTTCTTCTACGATACCGAAAATCATCTAATGATTTCGGCCACATTGCTTGCTCCATTATTCACATTTTACGTCATGAATCCACCGACACAATTACTTAAAATGGAGCCCCAAGTATGACATGGACTTTCGCGCACTGTGACTTTCATCTTTTGATTTCAGTCGTAATATTCTCGTTTAACTTACTTGCTTGCTTGCTACGATCTCCCTTCTTTCCCAATACCACACAATGACTGACTGAATGCTATACATCCATAACCTATATAGTTACGATTCATTTGTGGTTTCAGTCGTTGGTGCCGAGGGAGTTGGCGGTTCGTCGTTGTCATCTCCTGGTTCTTCGGAAGCAACGATTGGTTTTGGTTTCAAAAGCGGATGCTCTGCTCGTGGAACAAAGCCATGTGGTTTTTGTCCTTTGGCTTGTTGCCTTTTCTTGTCGTGTTTGAGCATGACATGGACGGAATCGTCCACCGTTTGCAATCGGTCTTTGGAACTACTGCAACCCATTGTTTTTTATTTGTTCAATAATGTCGATTGAATCTATTTGGTCGTCCGTTGATGCTCTCCTCTCTTTCTTTCAATCTGATTCTAAGGAAACAACGAAAAGAAAGAGGAAAGAGTGGTGAGTAAAGGGTCATTCAGTAATTTTGAGTAAAGGTTCATTCAGTAATGTTGAAACCATCAGCAGCCTGTTGCTTCTACTCCATGTGTTTCTCATCTTAATTGTTCTGAGCAGGCTTGCTGCAGCTAACGCTCAGTTTCCATTCAGTTTCCATTCAGTCTCCCTTACCTCAGACAGTCAATTAATATTCGTTCCTTTGTTATTTTCTGTTATCACGCAAGAACAAATGAGTTCTACCTTTTATGAGCGTTAGTTGTATCAGTCTCTGACTTCTTGTTCAGATGATGATGATGATGATGAGGTCTCGGAAGTTGCTTGGAGGTCATGACTTCTGTTGGCGATCTGACCGACTCCCCAACGATTCCTTCGTTGGACCAATCAAATCGAAGGAGGAGGAACCGCTTACTTATGGGTCAAGTGGAAGTGTCTTCGGAGTTCGGAGATACTCATTCGCCACTAGAAAAGTACGCATTCATTCTTGTGTTTATTCTTGTGTGTCTCCGTTTTTGAGTGAAACTACACATACTCACTTTACCTTTGGTACCTATGTTTCGTACCTCTGTATGCAATTTCATTCAAGTATGATTTTAAATAAGACTTAAGTATAGTTGAAGAATAACTCAATCGCTCCATTCCACAACACTGTTTCTCTTTATGCTTTCGTTCTTTCGTCGTTTTTCGTTTTTCTTTTTTCTTTGAGTTGCTCTGCTGGTGGCATTCCCGCCGGATGGTGATGGATGCTTTGACATCCTCGGAAAGCGTTACGATAGGTATCATACATATGCACTTTCATTCTAGTTTGCCTAGGAATATTAGATACAAAATATGCATCGCTGGAGAATGTTTGAAGTGGCCGGCACAACAACAGATTAATTAGTAGCAGAGTGGCTGCCTCCTGGACTCCCCGCAACTCGTCTGTCTATCCACCGATTTTTGAACGTCGGACGCGATGACTACGAACAGGTCTTCCCCCCCGCCAGCAGGGAGCCCCTCATAAATTATAAAAAACGACTTTTTGAAACCGATCAAAGAAATCGAAACCAGTCACTGCGACAAGAAACCGATCAAGCGATTTTGAAACCGATCAAAGAAATCGAAACAAGTAAATGCGACAAGAAACCGATCAAACGATTTTGAAACCGATCAAAGAAATCGAAACACGTCACTGCAACACGAAACCGATCAAAAACAATATTTTGCTACAACAATGCCCCGGCCCAGGGGTGTAATGAAAACTATTTAGTAGTCAAAGAAGTCGGAGATGTGAAATTCGGAAACGGTCGGTCGATAGACGAGTTGCGGGGGATCCTGCGCCTGCTGAGCAAGAAGGTATAAAAAGAGCCAACCATAGTACCCTTTTGCCACTCAATCTTCGTTTCCCGCACTGTATTCTTGGTACCTTTGTTGTTCCTCTACCGTAGCAATAATGCGGTTGTAGTGTTTGATCCCATGATGACTTTAGCCACTGCAGCTGTATAGGACCTACCGGCGGTACGCGCAGTGTAATAGGGTTGGGTATCTTCATCAATATGCAGTCATACTAGTCGAACATCGTCTCCGGTAAACAACGCAACAACTATTAAAATACTACCGATATAATACCACCAGCGTTGTAATACATACACATGTATAATATTTTCATTTTAGTACATCTAAAAGAAAGCCTGTTGCATTGTTGGAGAATGACATGACTCGATCTCTCCTTTCTACAATAGTACAAGAAAGTATTGGAAAGACGAGCAAGGATCTAGTAGTGCTAGTACCAAACACGTCGTCAGTACCTGTTTCAATTACGGGAGGTGTCAGAATGTCACCCATATCAGCCTCATGACGCAGTGGCTTCCGTTTCCATGCCGCCGTCGTCTGGTATAGATAGGAAGTCGCATATAAAAAATGATCAAATGATCATTTCAGCCCCAGAACAAAACCCAACGGATGGATGGCTAGAAGGTTTTTTCCTGCCTGTCCAACCAAGCAAGATCTGGTTCTGGCTTCAATCGTACTACACACACGCGCACAGGCAAAAATGAAACTTGCTTGATTCGTAAACCTCACCTCCTTGGTTTGAATTCTGTTGCA